ATTATGAAACTCCATTAAAATTCGCAAAACTAAAAAGATGATCACTGGTTTTTTTTTCAAAATATGGCGACACATTTGGAGCATAACTTTTTTTTTTCTTGTCAACCACAGTTAATTAAAAAGCGCCACCAAAATTAATAATTCAATTCGAGAGCAAGTTACCTGCATAATAATAAAATTTGGAACATAACTGTTGTCACAATTTTATTGTTAACGTCTAAAATTTCATATATCATTTCGTTCCCGCATTATTTCGTCTTGTTTCTTTTAATTTTTTTTACTGCATCAGATACAATCATAAAAATCACATAATTTGTATCATACGATTTAAGCAAACAAAAACGGTAACAATTTATAGCGTCTTTTTTTTTTGACGTCTTTATAGCGTCTTTTAAGAATTTGTAGAAAGCCAATTACATGTGTTATAAGAATGTTTTTATAATGTAAAGGAGCTTGTGCATGTGATGAACGTAAAGAGTGTATCCGTCCGTACACGCGTCAATACCACACATGATAAGAATGCCACCTCTTAAGGAAGCATGAGGGGATCATGCATGCATGCCCCCATCCATCTCGACCGTTTATTACGCTTCAAAGTGAAGTACTTGCTTATTTTGATTCCACCAAACATTTATTATATTATGTATCTACTTCACGATCATGACTACTACGTGATCCCCTTTATCCCCCCTTAATTAGTCAGTTTTTTTTTTTTTGGTCGAAAAATTCCTCAGTTTTTATTTAAAATATATAATCACCATTTCTTGGTCTTATCCACTAATACGATTAGTTTCTTGTTCATTTATGTCCTGATCTTTAAAACAATATTTTTTTTTGCTAACAATCTATAAAACAATATTTTCCCTCCTTTTCAAGATGCATGTGAAAATGGATGAAAAAAACACCACCACCAAATGGAAAATAAAATTACATCAACTGTTAAGTGCAAAGAAATATTTTGAATATGCATGAAAAGTTTAGAGTCACAATATTTACAAATAAAACGTTATAAGAATTTAAATGCGTATAAAAAAATTAATATAATATATAGTGCTAAGAGAATATATAGATCCGGACGTTATAAAAAATATATCGTGCTAACAGAATCCGAATATTTTCTATAGCAAAATTACTTTATCTGGTAAAAACACATATACTTAAAACCTGTCGGATTCTCTAATACTTTCCTTTAATTAGTAGGGTTATTAATTTCAAAAAAAAGAAAAATAGTAGGGTTATTGAAATATCCGTATCACGTGATGTGCCTCAAAGTCACGTGACACCGTTCAGACGGCGGGCCACGTATCTTACCCTTGCTGCACGTGTCCTCCTTCGCAGTCCTTTGATCGTAAAAAACAGTACTACTGTTTTACTTTCCACGTCCCGGCAAAAAAAAATGATTTACTCGAATATGTCCACAAAAAAATGTACGGAAAAATACACGTGGCTGAACGTTTTTGGCTTTTTGACCGTCAACGTATCTTTTCATAGTGACGCGACATTCTAGAGAATTTTGTTCTCTCGTTAGGATTTTGTCACGTGGCAACATCTACGAGATTTCAACATTGTATTGGTTTTATCAAAATTAAACCAGTTAATTGATTTGTTGGTTAAATCCGATTAGTAGTTTGTATTGACCGGCCGACTAATCATTTTCCTGATAAGGTATAAGAAATATCTGACATTCCAATTTTTCGCATCGTCAGAATTTTATAATCTAGGACTGTGACTGGTAAGGTATAAGAAAATTTTTTTAATCTAGATTTTACTAGGTTCACTAAAAAAGTTAAAGTGAATTTGTGGGATAACAAATTTTTTTTTTTTTATCTAGAAACTAACTAATTGGGTAAAGAGAGATGAGAGTCGGATTTTAAAATATAATTTTTTTTCTATTATTTTTACCAATTTCCCAAAAAGTTATGTGTTTTCTTTTTATTTTATCAAACTATTATCTTTGTTTTTTTCTGGAATTTTTTTTTGTAACAAAATTTACTTATAAAACTAGAGTTTTTTTACAATGGGTTCAATAAATTCATTTATACCTACTACACCAGTTATACTTTATGTTTTTTTATCCTCGCTACACCAGTTAGCTTTAATATATTTTCTGAATTTTTAATGTGGTTTAAAAGAAATTAGTCATTTTTTATTCTTTTGCTTTTGGTCAGAAATGTTTTATTAATCTCTTTACAATTTTTTATAATCTCTAAAATAGAGTCATCTAATTAAAAGACGGGTCAAGATATCTTTGAAGTCTAGTATAGTAAAATGACATTGTTATAACATAATGAAGAAGTAATGGTATGTAAAAGAAATATTTATATGTAATGTATCAACATGGGAGTGGATTATATTTTGATATTTGTTTTGCTAGTGTTCCTCACAAATCATCAACCACAAAGTTAAAAAGTCAGTATGCACATGAACTCAATTCAATGTAAATTTTCTTCTTGCTTTTTTCATAAACCGTGAGAATTCTAAATATTTGGTTTATGATTTATTCGGTACCCAGAATTAGTCTTTAGATATTTTGATTCAAAGAATAATTTTTTGTACTAAAAAAGATTTGAATCCGAGGCAAAAAGAACCAATTTAATTATGTTCCCACTAGATCAGTTTTGACACTCAATTCAATGTCTATTATGTCAATTCAACAAACATTTTTATCGTTGGCTATGTCAATTCTAACGGACTCGGTATAAAAGTATAAAAAGGTTTTGCAAGACTAACAAACTTAATAGTGTGAACACGTCAAGAAAGTTATTACAATTTTGAACTTTGGCAGGGGCTAGTAAAAACTCTATCTGGTTTGATCATTAGTAGATTAATACTTTAATAGGAATTTTGAAGAATAGCAAGGACCACAAACTTATAGTCAAGACAACGATTTGTACGAGAAGACAAAACTAAATAATTGTAAGAGAATATTTAAACAAACAACAATAAGACTACATGAATACAGAATTTGACGATGAAAATAGATTTGCGGAGACAAAATTTTTACTTAATTTTAAAATCACGTGGTGTTACAATTTGATGTGATTTGAATCTCAAAATACAACCACAAATTCTTCTATCTCGCATAAGTCAATGTTAGAATATGACGAACTTTAGCAGAATGTTGCATGTACTCCCATACGCTAAGAAAAACCAAAGATAAAAAAGCTTGAAATTTATCTTTGATTTGATCGAATGAAGAACAAGAGGAGGCACTAGGTTTATCAAATAACACCATATCAAAACGGTCAGAAGATCGAACACCAAGTTGATGAAGACATTAATCGTCAAATTAATCACAAAATTAAAAAAGAGAGATGATTTTGTGTCGACTAACTCAATCACAAAACTCAAAACAATTTAGGCTGAAA